TTCGTATAGAAAAGGTAACGATTACGATCGGCATATACGATGTTACTCGTCGCGTTCAACGTATTTTTGTTACCATACCAGCTGCAATTGTAACACCTGAAACACGTAACATTATGCGACCCAATTCCTTAAAGTCCGAATAACGTTCTATACATATGGGTCTTGTTGTTTCCAGTTCAATCAGGGCACAGGTGTTGTTGCCCAAACAACGTGGTTTTTTCTTAATAACCTCCCCCGTACCCTTGTGTATCTGTGCGTTTAGTTTACTAATAACAGCTGGTTCGATAAGTGACTGATGATGCAATAGCACCGGAAAACCAATTGTAATTGGTACTTTAATATTGAAAATTAGCAGACGAACTTGAAAACGTGTCGTCACCGGTATTGGATGCTGCGGATCACATATAATGCCTCCCACAGTAATGTTATTTACATCAATTCCTGACAGTGTAATGGCCACTTGATCCCCGGCAAAGGCATTGTTTTGTGGCACTTCATCTATGAGCAGACTTTTGACTTGACCTTGTTCTCTGAGAGCTCCCACCAATACGCGATCGTTGACACACAAGGCACCGGTTTCTATGCGACCCGATATACAAAATCCTGAAGATGTACCCTTAAATATATCCGAAATAGACATACGAAATGGCTTGTCCACAGAGCGTTCAGGAATTTTAAAATTATCTATAACAGCCAATAGATGTGGACCTTTGTACCAGGCTTTAAGGGCAGGCTCGGTGGCTGGTTTGGCGAGATTCTCTCCAGTCAATCCTGAGCATGGAGTGTATGTTACATCGGATTCTTTGTAGCCAGCTTGTTTAAGGAAAACTTTGAGTTTTTGAACAATTTCATCGAAACGTTCTTTGGACCAGTCTACCGTGTCGAGTTTGTTAATTACAACACCCAATTGGTTGACGCCCAGTGAACGCACCAAGATGGCATGTTCTCGTGTTTGACCGCCTAAATCAAAACCAGACTCAAACTCTCCTCGGGTGGCATCAATAACCAATAGGGCTACATCCGCTTGTGTAGCACCTGATATCATATTGGGTATAAAATCCTTATGGCCTGGAGCATCAAGAAGTGTGATTATTTTCGTTTCCGTTTCGAAACGGAAATGTCCAACATCCATGGTGATACCTGAAAACAGAGAGAATTTTGATATGAATTGTATAGCATCATGAGGTTAGGGTGTGTTACGTATATGCTTAAATCGAATCATCAGGATTTGAAAACAAAATTATGTTAGTACACAATTTGCGATAAATAATTTAATTAGTCCATGATGAATGGATCCTTCAAAGTATTGGCATAATCGATGTAACCGTGGGGAACCCTCCGCCATCTGTTGGCCTTACCGTATCACCTTGTCAATAAACTTTGATTCGAACAGAATGGATCAGATTTTTTTCACACAGCTACAAAGAGCAAAATCCATCGCAAATTTTAGTTCGGTATTTTCTTAATTCATTATATAAAGTCTGGACCCCTTGTGCAGCCAGCTGGTGACTTGGCGGTCTTGTTTACCGCAGGAAGCTATGAATTGCGGACGAGTTTAAAATGGGGGTAGGGGTAATTGGGTAGTGGATATGCATATACTATAGCATTGTGATTGCGAAAAAATTGGAACAACTCCCATTTCTAGATCACATCTGATTAATGTACTTATCATTATGAAAAATGCACATTATTTGGTATTATTTCAGACCGATCCGAGTGTTTTTTGGCATCACGGCACATTCTCGATGAATGTTTGTTCTTGGAATCCCCGGGTTCACACACTTAATAAAATCTTTCACTGAAATGAAACCTGAAAATTATTTCCGCATTAACATTCAGAAATCTTACCTCTTGCTCTCTCCTCGCCAGTCTCATCCAATACCCAGGCATACATAAAACTTTGTTTGCCCAATTTCTTGGACTCCTGTTCATGTTTGTGCATAACTCGTTGCGAAACATTGCCGGTATCGTACAACAAATGGCCCATTAACGTACTCTTGCCAGCATCCACATGTCCAATGACAATCATGTGGAAATTATGTTTTTGATCGGAACGCTCCTTGACGTATAATTGTTTGGCATCACGCTGCGATTGTTCTTTGGAAACCTTAAAAACATTTGCATCCAAAACTCCGCCACCACCACTTGCAGTCTTTTTATTGGAATCGTCGACAAATTCGACGGGAGTATTGCGTCCAGAAAGGGCCGGGGAACTTGGCAAAGCTGGAGAGCTTACCTCAAAGCCTCGCTTTACTTCACTTTGTGCAGCTGTGACCTTAACGACTGGTGTCGCAGGGGCAGATGTTTTTCTATCTGCCAACTCACTCAGCAAGATTTTCGGCGGCACTGCTGCTTTGCTTATCACATTAGCTGTGACATCCTTCTGCATACGTTTAGCTTTGTTCTCCGTCTCATCGTTTAGTATTTCATCTAATATTTTATTAATATCATACGCAAATTTTATCGAAGTCTCCACAATTCGTTTCTCGGATATGGTATCGCCCACAACACTTCTAACCTCATCAATGCACGATGTCAACTGGGCCTTTTCCAAATCGTTCAATGAAGGCATCTGAAAGTTATCCGAATTTCTTCTGGACTTTTCATACGACTTTTCCTCCTCAGCATCCTCGTCTTCTTCCTCTTCGGCAATGTCTTTATTGTCACGCATAAATGCCGACATCGATTGATGTCCCCTCGCCCGGTCGTACAGCCACTGTTGGGCATCTGTGGGCGATATACAGCTATCATCATCGACGGAGTGGCCGTAGACATCATCATATCCGTCGTACTCGTCGTCGTAGTCCATCCTTCGAACAATTCTGTGACGTGACATGTTTCTTGTCTTCGCCTTGTAACCTCTTTCCACCAACAACAAAATTTACTTTCAAAGCTTTGCAAAGTCTGGGGGATTTCATAAATTCAGTTTATTTTGTTTTATTAAATGCAGTGATTAAGCTTTCGTTGGATTTTTCTGATTTTGTGAAATTCTTGGGCTCGTGAACACATTTGACACATTTGAAAACAATTATACAAAAATGACAAACATTATGACCACTATACGTTACGATTCCTGTCACCGGACAACTAATTACAGAAATAGAAACAGCTGTCGGTGGCTTTTTGCCATTTTTGTGTGCGTGACTACACATTATAGAAGAATACAGGTAGATGCATGGTACAATGATATCAAGGTAGGGCTATGATACCATATGATTTTAATTTTTTTTTATTTTCTTGGCTTAATATGTCATCTTTATTTGTTTATGTATTTGTTTTCTTTTCAATAACAAAACAATTGTTCAGAAAATATTCAAATTCGGGTGTTTTCAAAATGTTTATTTCAACGTATGCATCGACAAAATCTAGAGTTTTTGTAGCGAAATAATCCTTTAGAGATATATAGTACATGATTTTGAAAATAAGTGTTGACCTTTCATTTAGTTATCGCGTTTTTTCAATTATTTATTCAAAATAAATGCAACAAGTTGTTTGATTTTTATTGTTTTGATACTAGTTCTGACATTACAAGCCAAACAGGTAGACCTCTATACTTGCAATTATTTCAAAGTTGGCCTACCTTCTCTTCACTGTACCTTGGGTAGATGTATCAACGCTTAGGAACATTGATACTTCAATTTTTTAATGTTTTTTTTAATGAGTAGATTTGTAAATGTTTTCCTATACGAAGCCAATCGGAGGTAGTGATGATATCCATTATTTTTTTCAAAAATTTCGATTCAAAATTTGGTTTGACAGTTCATTGGTTTTCATAGCTGTGTTGATGTGGCTATGTGTACTCTTCTAATATTCTTTATTCCTCTCACGTTTTAAAATAGCAGGCAAATTGAAGAAAACACTCACAAATAAGAAGTTATCAGCTTGTGGCTGTTGGTTTTGAAGGATTGCTATCTAGATTTCACATTTCTAGTCTTCCGTTCTCTTACTTTCTGAACAACATTAAGGTGAGAACACATTAAACGGTTTTATAGAAGGTGTGAGTCATAGGCTAGCTGCTAACACCCGCCGATGACTTAAGCCGGTCAAAAAAGCGTTTTATTTATTCTCACCTTAATTATCTCATAGGGAATTTTATGACACAATTGCAGAAGGTAGAACAAATCTACACTCTAAATAGAATTTGTTTTCTTTTAGTGCCCTAATGCCATGTTTACGTTAGAACTTTATGTAGGGTTAACCTTCTTTGAGAGGATTTATTTGAAGTAAAAGTAATGGATATGACAATTTAAATCCAAATCTAGTGGGTCTAGTGGGTTTTGTCGAAACATATACACATTTTGTGTATGTGTGTGCATTGCTTTTCCAACAAAAAAATACAATAATTTGTAATTATTTTAAATTCGGTTGTAAAATAAATGCATATTTTCGATGTTAATGGACCACACATTATAAAATAATGGGATAAAACTGTATTGTCCTATTAGTTTAAATTCGATCTTGTGGGATAACCCCAAAATTCCATTCTTGTTTCGCTGGTTCTCCCCAATATAAGAATTTTGTGAGAAAAATAAAAATAAACAAAAGCAAATGTTGCATATTTAAAAGTCTATATGACACTAAAAGACTCCATTTTTTCTTTCTTTAATGTTGAGCAACCTCATTGAGCCATGGGGAATTCCGTTTTTCTTTCTTTTAAGTGTGAAACAGTTTAAAGCTTAAATCTTGACTTCGGTGTGAAAAGTGGAATTTTTTTGGCTGAAGGTAATGTGAAAATACAACACTCCTGTCGCCTTTGAGATCTGTGTTGCAACCAGTAGCACGATTTAAGCTCGGGAATACTTCTATTGTTTACGTGAATTTACTGCACTAGACAAAACCAAACTGTTTACCTTACGTCTCCCACTAATCAAATACTCAACGTAAAAGAAAAGTAACTAATTTAAGTACTGAATTTAACAACCGTGAATACTACAGCTGACAGAGTTTTCCCATGCCTGTTTCGTAAACAACGGTGTCTTCCTTTTACTTTTATTGTTTATCGGACATTATGTTTTGTCTTCATTATTGGACTCGTTTGGGACGTTTTTTATTTTGATGCAGGCAAGCGTTATTAGCCGGACAAAATTTTTCTTTTACCATGTTTTTTTGTATTACAATTAAAATTATATAACAATTAGGTAGCATCAAGTTCACTTAGAAGCTTATAGTAATGGAAAATATCGACGAGAAATATCGCAAACCAAGACGAACAAAGGGAACGCCTTCATACTATTATCGAAATCGAGTTGCTGCAGCAGGAATTGTTGCGGGAAGTTTAATATTTGCTTTGTGGTAGTAAGTTTCAGAAATGTGTTTCACAATATTCCCAACGGTACATTCTAATTGTCCACTTGCTCTCTCTAGTTGTACACCAATATACCAAGGAGCTTCCGAGAAATTTGTACGTGAATATTTGACCACAACCGAGGAGGAGAAAGATCGCAAATATATGTTCAATCTGAAAGCAAATCCTCGCACGTCGAAAGCCATACAGCAGACAATAGACGAAAAGAAACAATTGATTTCGGAACGATAGAAATTGGAGCTGAAGCATATGCTATGGATCGTGCAACCCGTAAAGCTAATCTAAAGAAACTACAATTACCGGGTACTGTTAATACAAGACAACGGTATGCATGCACATTCTTTCTTACAATGTTCATTGACTAGATGTAGTTAATAAAGTACCTATACCAAATAAATGTTTATTAGTTGGAAAAAGTAATGTTTTTGTGTCTTCTTTTTTTATTTCAAGTAAAAAAACACAAAATGTCCAAGAACTAGGTACGGCCTCAATTTCAAGTTATTTTGCTGCTTCAGAAAGTGACAACAAAATATCCCCCGAGAAGAATGGGAAAGATAAATTACCGGTCAGTGATACAACAAAAAGTAAATGCAATGAACCTGAAGAATCAGAAACACTGCCGAAAACTAAAACGACACGTGCCAAACGTACAAAGCTCGATGCATTCGTATTTAAACAGCCAAAATCATTAGACTCCGGTACAAATAATGATCAGTTGCAGGAAGATGATTTCGATGTGCCCGAAAAGAAAGTCAAAAAGGCACCACCACCGCCCACAACAAAGACGGAAAACAAAAAGGGCAATACCAAAAGTAAGGTCGCGAAAAAGCCTACGAATAAGAAAAGACAATCCACAATAAAATCAGCATTTCTTCGTAATGAACAAATGTTTGCTGAAATAGCTGCCCAACATTGTGCCGCAGATAATTTCAATGTCGATGATATTCAACTGGCTTTGGCAATATCTCGTTCTGAAGCCGAGAGTAGAGGAATAGCTGTTGCCGCAGATAACGAGAATGATGGTGATGTTGTTTGTGTTGCAGATCAAAATGACGAGGTTAAGGATGCAGAATCAATAAGGCAGAAGCTAGCAAAATATGGATTTCGTACAGCCGAAAAAGAAGGTACGCCCAAAGGTTAAAATTAAATTAATTTGTTTATAATTTTTCCTAACGTGTTTCTTTTTCCATTTCAGATTATAATGCATTTGCCGAAGCATTTATGGCTAAAACAAAAGTTCGTACCAAGAAAGCAAAATGGGCCAATAAATTTACCACATTAACACTGCGCGATGAACAGCTGCAAAAGAAAAAACTTAAAGAACAAATAGAACTGATTCTAAATAAACAATTTTGCAGAGCATCTCAATCTGTAGAGGAACCTTTAGTAGAAACTTATCAACTTCAAAGCAAAATACTTAGAGTTAGTCAAAAAGCTGAGGTCAACGAAAAAGTTGTACAATGTCCAGAGCTGGAGGAAATACCATTGGAACAGTTTTTTGTCACTGAGTTATTTCCATTAAGTAAAGTGAATGCTGGACATTTACTACGAAAATGGGAAGCAATACAGGGAAGAGATTTTACACCCAAAAAACAAAGTTCAAGGGCAGAGAAAATGGCAATAAAGATACATCAAATCTATAAAGATTTGGAAAATTACTATCACAGACTCAAATATCCTTCGTTGGATGGGGAAGTGGAAAATGAAGAAATTATAATTACTACTGATAAAACTTCCATTGATGATCAAGCAAAAATGGGGGACGTTGAATGTACCAGCGATAAACCTGTGGATTATTTTAAAAATTTACGTGTTCGAGAAGATGAAGATAATCCGAAGTCCGATTCTGGCAGTTCAATAACTAGTTCCATTTATAAGAAAATTAAATCTTTAATTCCACCCACCAGAAGTTTAGAATTAATGGATGTTTCAGCTGGATCTACGGACACAAATGCTGCCACAATATGTTCATCGCAAATGGAAACAGAACCACAGTTGAAGCTATTGAACAATGTTTCGTGTACACCTGAAAATTTATTACGAAATAAGGATTGTGAGAATACTTTGGAGGTGGGAACTAGCAATATAGAAATTAATTCATTAAACGCAGCAAGAACACATGAAAGCAGTATTGTAGCATCGTCTAATATAAAAGACATTCCTGAAACACATAAAGTTCCGTTGATAAATCATGCAAGTGATAGCAATAAACCCATCGTGGATGTTGCCAAAGGCTTAGACCTTAGACCTACAACTTCCTGTATTACACCTCAAAAGCCAACACCTAATAGCGGTATGAGTTCCACACAAAAACCGAGACCAAATTCACCCGATTTATTTGCCGATTCAGATGTTGAAATGGAAGATGAAGAAGAGACAAATATTGACATTGGTAAAGGTGTGTATTCCATTTGCTTTCCATGATAATATGATAAAGATTATAATAATCGTCACCAGAGTAATAATCAATTCAATCCCTGGTAATATTCCTTGAAAATCTTGAAGGTTAAAAAATCTATGCAAGAAATAGTCAAGCTTGATTGTTTTGGAATTTATTAGCCATATGCAACAACTTCAAATTATATACTAAGGTTTTTGTTGGTCGTTCATTGTCTGAAGGGTGGCTGAACCAGCAGCGAAATCTATTACATATCGAATTCAAAATCAATATTCAATACGGCGAAAAAAAAACCCATAGAATTACTATGTACGTCTGATTTTTTATGTTCTGCGATAGGTTTTCCTTCCTTATTATTTGACCATGACTTCGTTCCTTTATGTTCTAAACCATTTATATTTATTTGTAGGAACCAAAAATGTCCACCAATTTTACACCATGAGCACCGTGGATGCTGATCCAAATACAATCGAAATCGTTTCCAGTGAAGAGGGTAAGATCTGCTCTCATGCAATATATTTGGATCAATTCCATTAATAATATTATTTTGTATAGCAAAGAATAATTTTTCGCTGGAGTCTACTGAACACATAGCAAAAAGTGATAGTGGTAAGAAATGCCATTTATTATCATTAAGGCAATATTATATATTTTTTTATTTTCAGTTAACCACCATACAACCGTCCTGAGAACCGAAGATGTGGCCACAAATGCAGTTGAAATATTTTCTAGTGAAGAAGGTAGGATCTTGGGCTAAAGGACATTTAAAAAAGCGTCCATTAATAATATTTATTTTGTATAGCAACAGACCTTTTCTCTCTGGAGTCTCAAAAACACCCATCGAAGAAAGTTGGTATGGAAAATAGTCTAGAAACCATTCAAAATATATGTTCTCATGTATTTAATTTTGTCTTAGTTACCCACAATAGTTTCGGGGAGAGTTCCAAAGAATCTGACGACGAAAATGCAATTGAAATGCTATCAAGTGAAGAGGGTATGTTATGTTGTAAGCCACCTTTATTAAAAAAATACTTTATTAATTTAATATTTTTGTGTAGCAAAGAATATTTTATTCCGGGAAGTTGAAGGATCCACATCAGTTCGTGTTAATGGTAAGACAATCGATAAAATAAGTTTGCATAATGTTATTTTTTTACTAAATTTTAAAGTTTTGATTTTCATATTACTAAAGTTCAAATTCACTTGCCTTGATAGATTCACCTGACACCATGGAAGAAGATACCGAAGAAAATCTCATCGATCTAACACAAGATTATGAAGAAGATCATGTATCCAAGGAAAAAAGCAATACCACAAATAATCAAAGTAAAACTATAACGGAGATAGACATATTTGCTGATTCGCCTTTAAACGACGAGGAGTTCGAAAAGGCAATAACAGACATAAATAGTAATTCCGAAACATCGAAATATGTAAATAAGTTAGATGGGGATGAAGATTTCAAATTAACATTAAGTTTCGAAACAAATAAGATTGACAATCAAGATTTCTTTAAGTCCACTCTTGACTTGGCATCTCCTGAGAAGAAAAGGAAACGTTTGGATAATGGCAACGATTTACAATTTTCAAATGCAAATATCATGGATAATCTTGAGGTGAATGAAATTTCACTTTTCTCAACAAATTTTGAAGTAAATCTTTGTCCAGATATTAGCAGTGTTTGTGGTGAAGTAGCAAAAGCTAAATCAATTACCAACTTAAATGAAGTTAAGATTTCGGAATCAAATGCCATTACAACCAAAAGTAAATCTATTGAAGAGAACGTCCAAAAAGGGGATGATGACAAACTTAAAAGTCCCTTACATTCTCCACACAAAACAAATGAAATCATTGAAATACCCGATGATATTGATTCAGACAATGGAGGAGAAGAAGAAGAAGATATGATCCTCAGAGAAATGGAATTAAATCAAAGTAATAGATCGTTTTTGAATTTTCAAGGATCAAATCAATTACAAACATCATTTCATCGTCAAACTGCCACAATCAAGGATGTCAGTCAAAAACCTTCATCATTTGCGGTTGGAAATGATACAATCTTTCGAGAATTGTATAATAAATATTTGGGTGGTAAGGAGAAATCTAATGAATCTCTATGCAGGAGAAGCTTTTCCCAAATGGTAACCAACGTAAAAACCCCATCTGACTCGAATAAAAATGATAGCAGATTTAGTATGGATTTGGAAATGACCGTTGAACATTGTATAACAAATAGGAAATCCTTATCATTTCATGCAACATCACCTGCAAAACCCGATACGGACACGGGCAAATCTCAGTCATTTAATTTGCAAAATCACAGTATAGATTTGACACAAAACGAAGATGATGAGGGGAAGGGAAATATCATTGACCAAGAGGAGGAGGATGAGGAGGAATGTTTGGTGTTATCCGATGATGAAATAAATTATTCCATATGGCAGGCAAATAAAACAAGTCGTTATAAAGATTCCAATGGAAATTCTGCAGATGAAGAGCACTACAATGAAGAGAAGGATACATCAGTGGTTCTTGATATAATCAACAATGGGTGCTTATCGCCTTCCAAACAGATAGATTTAACTCAAAATTCGTACAGTGATTTTGAAACAAAATCACCAAACGAATCGCCATATATCGATCATAAACTTGAACGAAGTAAATTTGGTATTCTGGAGGAGTTCTCGGAGACATTCGAATCGCCGACACCTAATCAATTGTTAGAAGAAGCATCATTTCTTCAAACGCCCGATGAACCCATAAAACGTTACAGTACCATAGGTAATCGAACAAGTGAAAAGTTTAGTGCCTTATTGAAAAGTGTTGATAATGAAGCTGCCGCCTTGGATGATTTCGATGAATTCGATATGATGGTATATGAAAATCAAAATTCGAAAATCTCCTCAGTGCCAATGGGATTAGATCAATTGTTGACAGCTGAAATAAGTCTCAAAGAATCTCAAAAAACCTCGAGCAGCAGTTGCAGCAGTCCAGTTTTTGATCTAGAGGGAATACCCTCCACCTCTTCAGTTAGTACATTGAAAAAGTCCAAGACATTTAGCACTGTTACTGGCCAGAAAAATAGCCTTGATAAAACCCCAAACAAAATCAAATTTCATAGTCATAAGAGTTCCTCGGACATTTTAAAGGCCACCTCCAAGCCCCCAAACATTATTGACAAACAAACATTAACCATCAATAATAAAACCTATCACATACGTGGTTTAACCGCCGATGAAGTTAAACCCAACTATTCTCAATATACTGAGGCGGAATTATTAAAGGCATTATATAACTATGGCATTAAACCGTTAAAAAGAAAACAAGCTGTTAAACTATTGGAATATATTTATCTGCAAACGCATCCCATAATAGTTGAAGAAACGGCACCCGTTGATGATTGTATTGAAAATTGTTTTAACACGGCTAAAGCGACCTCATCCACAAATGTGTACCGTGGTAGTATGAAAACAAAAACGACATTGCCTTCCAGTCAAATTGAAGAAGAACCCTTAACGCCAAGTAATGTTCTGTCAAACGTTGGCAACAAATTCAATCTTAGCGATGGCCTTGGTTCTGATATGATTCAATTTTCGCTTGAGCTAAAATCGGAGCTAGCAGATGAGAACTATATACTGCAGACAAATGTAACAAAGAAGGTAAGGAAAGCTACTTTTAATTTACAGGGTGAGATAAAAAAAAATGCAACAAAGTCAAAAGCCATAATTTTTACATTTTTTTTAATTTTATTGAATGAAAGCAACAAGTGTCGGAAATAGCATCAAATTTTAGAATAAGTTTAGATTTGTTCGAATTGGTCACCCTTGCCACAAATTATGGACTTCAAACGGCCAATGAAACCGTCACACGCTGTCCGAATGTTGCTCTGCAGTATTTTGGCTCATTCCCGGCGAATCGCTTGCTTGAGGTGATCGACACTTTGGTATTTTTTAGTGTCAACCTTGTTGTCCAAAATACTCCAGACACAATAGTCCAATGAATTGGTATAAGGAGATTTTGAAGGCCATTGTGCCCGGGAAATGAAGCGAGGAACCTCATTTTGTAACCATTCTTGGGGTTGCGCGTGCTGAGTGCGATGGTGACGAGTCCTGTTGGAGTGTCCAATGTCTGCGGCCAAAACGTTTGCATGCCCAAGGCTTTAATACACCCTCCAGAATATTTTCGCGATAATATTCGGCATTTATTCTGATGCCACGATCGATTAATACGAGCGGAGAGTGATCATCGGCAGTTATGGCGGCCCACACTATCACCATGGCCAGCGCTTGAGTTCTGGTGGCCAACCGAAGGTGCACATTTTCAGCAAGTAAACACGATCATTTTGTTTGTTTTTTATAAACTGCTGGACAACGAATGTTTTCTCATCGGAGACGGAGAAAACCAAATTCGACAGTTCGCCATTTTCGGCCAAGCGAAGCAACTCTTTTGTTCTTTTGAGTCTATTTTCTTTCGGCTGCGATATAAGTTCTTGCAATTTTTGGAATTTCAATGGCTTTTCCCCGAGCTCATTTTTCAATATTTGCCGAATGGAATATTGCGATATGTTCAGCTCACGAGTCATTTTTCGGTCCCTACGACGCGGGTTTCGATCAAGTCGCTTCTTTACTTTTCGAACCATTTCTGCTGATGTTGCTGTTTTCTTCCGTCCACTTCCTTGACGTCGGGCTACGCTACCAGTATCACGGTAACGAGCGATGGTACGAGACATAAAAGATTTATTCACATTTTAATGCTGGAGTGCTCTATAGCCACTTATGATTTTCCAGCCAAATATGAAGAAATCACACTATCACGCTTGAATTCCATCACAAATAGCTTTTCTCTGGAAATTTCTCACCAAAATACTTTTGTACGCTTGTAAACAATATAACGAGCTGTCACTGGAGTAATTTTAACAGTTGTCGGATGAGTGGCTTTTAAATGACAGCAGTCTGAAGATGGTTGCAGTTTTTTTATATCACCCTGTATATATGTGCATATAATATGTAAATTTTTGGGAGGTGCCTCCAATTCTGATGCTATATCTCCAGTTTCAAGTAGAATTTCAAAAATGTATATAGCCTATGTTTCTTTTAGGCGATATTGTAGAAAATCTGTTCAGTGGTTTTCGAGTCCATAAATTACAAACAAACATACAAACATTTTCCTCTTTTATAGATATAGAAGATAATGAATATGGGCAAATAATGTTTAATGTATAAACTACTTACAACTACATGTCCTAATTTCTTTTAGACCCCCCAACCTTTACTGCCATTTCATATTGCATGGTATAATTTGGTGTGTTCCAATCGCAAACTACATGAAAGTATTCTGATGTATGAACCCATTGATTTACAAGAAATTTACTTATTTCTAAAAGGCATTGGATATCGTTATGACCCAAAGGTAAATATTAAAATAATAAATTTATGCATTACTGAATATTTGGGATTATTTGCTCTAGGACCTCAAGCAATTTTTCGATCAACGTTGCATTATATTTCGTTATGATCTTGCAACGGCTGGTAGTAGTAACAATGCTAACAAAGAGAAAGCGAAAAATCGCCACGTTCGCAAGAAAAAGAAGACCAACATTAAACAGACAGTTAACATAAACATTTCTTAATTATTAAATATTAATGAAAAATAATAAGTGTAAATAATCGCAATGAACTGAAAGAATATGTTTTGTAAAATGTTTTTCTAAGTAATCTAATTTGCCTGTTTGTAATTATTTATGTGATGATCTTATAAACAATAAAATTAGCAATTTTTTTACAAATAAAAACTGCGAGTGTTTTTTTTTTTATTAAATAATTCTATGGGAGCAGAAAAAAAATTATTGTGTCAATACTTACTTTCTGGATTCCAATAAAAAACCCCGATATTTCTTTAACCTTTTCAAAAAAACATGTTAAAAATTTATTAACAATTCGTTGGTTAAAATGTTATTCCTTTAGATTGTTTTCCTTTGTTAAAAAAAAAAAAAACAAGGACGTTTTTTGTTATTATTATGGAATATATATATATACGTATAAGAAAATAAATAATAAAACTAAAATACAGCTGAATGGCTGTTAATTGACTATTGTTGTCAAGAGATTTGTGTGAATGTGTGATGTTACATTGGATAAAATCTTAAATACAAATACCATTTAACATTTGTACCATCATATTGTATTACAAAAAGAAAAAAAGGAACTAAAACAAAAAAAATATTAAGTGAAAATTATTAAATAAATTAATAAAAACATAATTCATTGCTACCATTATAAAATAAATCACAATATAAATATCTTTATGTATAAATATGGATGGTCGAATATGTGTTGCATGTAAAAGAAACAAAATCTAAACTTTCATTTTACGTTAAACTACATGAACTACTGCATTGATTGAGAGGTTTACTTTGTCCTAATTTAATGGCATCTTCATCGTTCTCCACTTGTGTTATGCTGGTATCGATGCGTCGCTTCAATTCCGTTGCCAGCGCCACAAAAGCATCATCAATGTTACGATTCTCTTTGGCAGATGTTTCTAAAACGTATAGAACTTCCGGTATGTATTGACACATTTGTTGTGCCTCCTCAAATTCTACTTCACGCTCATTTTCCAGATCACATTTATTGCCAACAACAATTAACAGAACACTTGACGTTGTATACCGTCGTACCTCCTCGATCCATTTTTGCAGATTTGCAAATGAATTGCGATTGGTTATATCATAAACTGGAAATATAACAAAATGTCTGTATATAATATTTAAAAAAATAAAAGTACCAAATGGTTTTGCAAAGAAATACTTATACCCTATAAGGTCAACCTGGTGCAAAAATTAGTTAATAGTATTAAAATCGATATTAAAGAATTCTCATCTGTCTCATAATACAGGGTCCATACCGGGCCCATCTTACTCATAGAAAATTATTGGTAAAATGTGTAGAAATGACGTTTTTAAGTTTAATTATGACAAAAATGGCCAAATTTTGCGAATTATATGGTCAACAGGGTGAGATGAAAAAACTTCAACCAACTTCAGACTGCTGTCATTTATAAGCCACTCGTCCAACAACTGTTAAAATTATTCCAGTGACCAGAAAGTTATTCGTAATGGAATTCAAGCGTGATAGTGTAATTTCTTTATATTTGGCTGGAAAACCACAAGTGGCTATCATTAGAGCACTCCAGTATTAAAATGTGAATAAATCTTTTGTGTATATTCTGGAGGGTGTACTAAAGCCTTGGGCACGCAAACATTTTGGCCGCAGACCTTGAACATTCCAACAGGACTCAGCACCATCGCACTCATCACGATGAGTTCCTCGCTTCATTTCCAGCGCATAATGGTCTCCAAAATCTCCGGATACCAATCCGTTGGACTATTGTGCTTGGAGTATTTTCGAAGTCAAGGTTGGCACTAAAAAATATCAAAGTGTCGATCACCTCAAGCAAGCGCTTAGCCGGGGATGGGCCAAAATACCGCAGAGAATTATTCGGACAGCGAATGACGGTTTCATTGGCCGTTTGAAGTGCATAATTCGTGCCAATGGTGACCGACCAAATCTAAACTTATTCTAAAATTTGATACCATTTCCGACAATTTTTGATTTCATTCAATAAAATTGAAGAAAAATTAAAAATTATGGCGTTTGACTTTGTTGCAATTATTTTATCTCACCCTGTATATATATTAAATAATGCTTGATTGTCTCAGGGTCCATACCGGCCCCATTTCACTCATAGAAATTTAGAGAGAGTGGAAAGAAAATCGTTGGTAAAATGAGTAGAAATTGCGTTTTAAAGTAAATTTAAAGTTTTTAAAATTATGACAAAATAATAACAGTGAACACCGAATATCTTTCCTACATAGCACCAATTTTACCAATTAAAAAATTTAATAAGTCCTACAAAATACCAATTATTTGGGAATATCGTTCTATGGGAGGCCATTCCAATTGGAAAAGACATTGAACCGCCAATTCAAACAAAACAGACACCTATGGTCTCTTTTATATGGCGTTCATGTCAAAATGAGAACTGATGTTAAAAGGTTTTTCCTTAATTACAGTGAATTTAATTAAAAATGGGATAGAAAACCTTCCAAATACCGAATATCTGGAGCTAATGGAGCTAAACTAAACTTTTTTACATGTCCTTTTCTATATCCTGTTAGAAAATGCGTCTATAAATTTCAAAATAATTAAAATCCAAATTTTACGATATATTAGAACTTATTCTGTATTGTAGATCAATATTGAATATTCATGTACTTGATTTTATTTAAGGTACTTAATGTACCTTAATACCTTGATTTCAATTAGGTTTAGCTAATTCGACTCACAAGTCTTTAAGGCTTAGTTAAGAAATTTAAAAATAAATTACATTTACTTCACGGGTTCTCAGACGAAAATTTCGAAGTGTTACAAAGAAATTGTCAAATTTAACATGCCCCCAGCTTATAGGGAAAACTATAAAATGAAGAAATGTTAAGCATCTCAGCAAAAATTCAATTTACAAAGAAAAACACGTGTGTACAAATAATGCGCAAACAACCGGACAATAAAGGCTGAATTGAAACGGAATAAAGAACCAAATATTATGATATGGAACCATTTCATAGATATGACAATTTTTTTTTAAATTTATAAAAATGATTCATTACCCTAGAGTAGTACTTAATTCCCCCAAAGACATCAGACAATCACCTACATACCAACTGCGTATTTAGCCAAACGAAATGGGCGTTGAATACCACAAGAAGAAAAAAACAACACACTTACCAATGATAACACCATTCGCTGAACGATAATAACTTTGTGTTATTGTGCGAAACCGTTCCTGACCAGCCGTATCCCAAATTTGCAACTAAAAGAAGAATGTTGTTTTCCTAAATAAATTCCAATTTGATATATTCTTCATATGACTTACCTTAACTAGTTTACCTTCTAAACTAATGGTTTTCATTGAAAAATCCACACCGATTGTATTTCCCTGACGTTCCATAAAATTACCAGTCTTAAAACGTTCAACTATGCAAGTTTTTCCAGTTCCAGCATCACCGATTAGCACAACTTTGAATAGAAAATCAAAACTTTCTTCACTGGGCAGAGCCATTAGTGTTTGAGGATTTCTGGCTGTCATGTTGATGATTTGCTGCCACTCGAAGAATGTTTGTGTTCTAGGGGACGGAGAATAGTTCGCAACGGCAAGGTGTGATGTCACTTATGTGGATTCACAAACGGTTAACAACAATCAATCAACTGTAAAATGTGGGTGTTTTTACACCTTTCCATTCACTAGATTTCTTTTCTTTGGAATTCTTTAGACACTGTAGTAAGAATTCATGAAAGGAATGTGCCCGAACAGATTAACCCTGGTTAGGAGTTTTGTTTTGGTGAATAATTGATTGACGTTTTTCTTTTGTGTCTAGTTGTTCTTTGGCTGCCGGAGATTTCCCTAAAATACCACTCTTTATTTTATTTCTATAGTACGCAATTAACTAGAGCGACAATATTATATTCCTTCAGTTCAAGAACAAGTTGTTTTTTTTATTGAATAACAAATTAAAGAACCTTACTAATTACCAACACAATAGAACCCGATGATTGTTATCAATCGATACTACCTTTTTAAATAAAGAATCGATAGTGGCAATTGGAAGCTTTATTTATCGATAACGCAAGCAATTGCTTTGTTCAGGACTTAACATAAGTCCTCAGTTACACTATACGAGTTTACTTGCGTCTATTTTTTCCCTCTCTTTCTCTTTTGAACATACCTTCTGCATTTATACAAGACAATTAGTTTACAGAATTGTTTATTGCTTTTGCTATCATTTTTCCTTGAAAAGAAGGTATATGACCTTTGCCATTCCGTTTGTAACATCCCTAAATATTTGTCGTAGACCCCACAAAGTATATATATTCATGGTCAGCATTAAATTCTAAGTATATTTAACGATAATATACTTAATGGATTTTTGAAAAGTTTAACAGCATGTAGTGTTTAAAAAGTTTAACAATATGTAGCATGTAGTTTAAAATGGGACAGATACTTCCACTTCTTCTTCGGAAGAGAAAAAAAAGCGAACTAAGTTAACCTAAACGCCTTTGTTCCTTTATTGTTTTTTTACAAATCTAAAACTCATTTGTCTTTTATGAATAAGCCAGTCGATGACTTATACCAGAACACTTCCTCTTATGTATATATAAAGATGACAATACATAAAACGCTTTTTTGACTGACTTCAGTTATCGACAGGCTTCTTCGTATAGGAACAAAGAAGTTTTAGGTTGATTAAGTTCGATTTTGGCCCAAATATTCTTTGTTTTTTTTTTCGAAGAATCCAGCCAATGACTTAAAGCTGGGAATACATAAAGCGCTTATTTGGCTGGCTTAAGTCATCGGCTTGCTTCTTCGGAAATGAACAAAGGAGGCTAGGGTCAAAATCGAACTAAGTCAACCTAAAACTCCTTTGTTCCATTACGAAGAAGCCAGCCAGATAAGCGCTTTATGTATTTTCACCTTAAGTCACTCAAAAAATTAAATTTTATTCTTATGACAAGGTTGTGTACTTCAGATAGATCGGCTGGCTTCTTCGGAAATGAACAAAACGAACTAAGTCAACCTAAAACTCCTTTGTTCCTCTACGAAGAAGTCAGCCGATGACTTAAGCCATCCAGATAAGCGCTTTATGTATTTCCACCTTAAACCACTCAAAAAATTAAATTTTATTTTTATGACAAGGTTCTGTACTTCAGATAGATGATGCCCTATTCGATTTAGCAAATGGGTCGCATAAGTCGTCGACTGGCTTGCAATGTAAAAGAATAAAAAAAGTAGTTCAGGTGAAGAGCTAAATAGCATGACAGCAAGAACTAATAAAAATGAGGCTATTCTCGAGATCCTAATTTTCACAGAGACACCAGACAATAAAGGTGAGGATATATAAAACGCTTTTTTGACTGGCTTAAGTAATCGGCTGGCTTTTTTGTAAAGGAAGAAAGGAAGGAGTTTTAGGCTGACTTAGTTACCTAATCTCCTTTGTTCTTTTCTGATGAAGGCCGATGATAATATTTTTATTCATATTCTCACCCACTAAGTGAGGACATCTGTATATATTTGATTTATTTCGGTCACATGTGGCGCCATTTTCACTAATTTCAATTTGAAATGTGTGCCGTGACTATCATTCACATTACACTTGGCATATAACAATTGTAATGCGATTGCGTAATTGTCAATCAAAATTTTCATGTACTTTGATTATTTTCTTGGAACGCAAGAAGTACTTACAATTGAAATGTATGGGAAAATAGTTTTGACTTTGATGTGAATGGTTTTCCTCCTTTTTTTCCTTATCGCCGATTCCAAATCTTAATGACATTTTGATGTCAATAATAAAATGTGTGTTAAACACAAATCGTTTTATGCAATTCGTTAGCACAAAAACTATAATCTAATGCCAAATCAGGTAAAAATCAAATTAAACCACAACGAGACAATTTTTCTCTGATTTACGCCTACAGTTGGACGATTGAAAAGCGGCGAGTGTGCATGCATGGGTATGTATGTATATGATAGTGTCAGATATTCGATAAATGAAAAGGCAGTTTAAAAGAAAGCGCCAGTGCTTTGTGGCGCTATTGGAAAATGTGCCTTGTCTACATTGAAAATTTGATTTGACTAACTTCGTTGGCGATTTGGTATATTATCGAATATTTTGACAATCACGTATTTGGCATTACATGCGCTCGTGTATGGATACGCATATGACCAAAATGCGAGCTGTAGTGTCTTGCTGATATATGTATGGCTACGTATGTGTGTGCACCACGTACTTTGATATCTATTTACAATATTTTGATAGGAGTTGCACTTCAACCAAGCCCTATTTTTAGCAATAATTATGTAATTTATATCACTTCACACAGGTGACTCTATTAAAATTCCAAATTCGGAATATGCTGTTAAATTTGTCAAATTCCACAAGAACCGTGTGTTTGAATGCAGGAGGTGTGTACAAATATTAAAATTACGCATGAGTTTCCGGTTTTCTTTAAATAGTTGAAAATACTTGAAATATGCAGCAGTTTATTGGAAATTTGGAAATGTTTAAAGATACTTGATGGGTCCTAATTAAAAAGCCAAAATACAAGAGCTTTTTATACCATCCACCATTCTATGGAGAGTATATTAGCTTTGTCATTCCGTTTGTAACTAGTCAAAATATTCATAATGGACCCTACAAAGTATATATATTCTGAATCAGCGTAAAACTCTAAGACAATTTAGCGATGTCCGTCTGTCTGTTGTAATCACGCTATCTTTCGAATGAATTGAGACAGAAGGCTAAAATTTTTGCCAGTAGGAAGGTTAAGTTCGTATAGCGTCTATATAACGGTACCTCCCGATATTCCGTATTTTTATGATATTAGCGACACCATTCACCTTAATCGTTCCAAATTTCGTGTTTGAAGTTTGCAATGGGTACGTCTTCGAATAGCCTCCATATAATGGTATCTCTTTTCATTCGGTATTTTGACGATATTATTCGCCGGGTACTACAGGCTGTGACAAAATATTACTTATGCAGCTTCATGTCTTCGTATAGCCCCCGTATGAAGATCATAATTTAAACGGAATTTTTTGAAATTTGTTGAAATTTTCAAGTTTTTTCCAAATGGTTGAGGGTATTAAACGTATGAATTAGGCATCGGCTGACCATCTCGTTAAAATTATTTGCCGAATTTGACCTAGGTCACCCTAAATTTCCTTGTTCTTTTAAGGTAAATGCCAGCCGACGACTAATACAAGAAACAATCCTCCCAAGTATTGAATCCTTACGACGGTCAAATGGTTTTCTGTGGATAGTATATCTTCTCGAGATGTCATAGAGGGTAAGAGTTAAGACCGAAATACATAAAACTGAGTATCCACATTAAACGGTTTTTTAACTGGCTTATTTGTAAAAGACCGAAGGAGCGTAAGGTGGAAAAGTATAAATTATGGGCCGGAATTGAAGTCAACTAAAACTCCTTTACGAGGAAGCCAACCGATGACTTCAAGGTAAGAATACACAAAACGCTTCTTTGACTGGCTTAAGACATCGGCTGGCTTTTTCGTAGAGGAACAAAGGAGTTCTTTGGCCCTACACTCCTTTGTTATTTTCCGAAGAAACCAGCCGATGACTTAAGCCAGCCAAATAAGTTCTTTATCCTTTAGCCAATCAAAAAAGTCTTTTATGTACTCTCATCTTAAGCCTTGCATATTCCTGGAGATCCAGCTTGGATACTTATTAAAGTATCTTGCAGATGTAGTCAGACTGTCATTGTAGATCTAGCTTGAGTACTTATTAAGGTACCTCGCAGACGTAGTCATGCATATCCTTATAGATACTGTTTGAGTACTTATTAAGGTGCTTCGCAGATGTAGTCTGTCTATCCTTGTTGGTGTATTTTGAGTACTTATAAGGGTCTCTCGCAGACGTATCCTTTCATATCCTTGCGAATCCTACTTGAGTACTTATTAAGGTCCCTTGCAGCCGTAGCTTCTCATATCCCTTGTAAATAAGGCTTGAGTACTTAATTAATTATGATCTCTTGCTATCCTTGTAGATTTTTGTTGAGTAATTATTAAAGTCTGTTGCAGCCGTAGCTCTGCACATCCATGTAGATCTAGCTTGAGTACTTATTAAGTTTCCTCGCAACTGTAGCTTGGCATATCCTTGTAGATCAGCTCTAGCTTTGCATAGCCTTCGAGTCCTGTAGACGTAGCCTTGCACTCCCTCGTAGGTCCTGCTTGAGTACTTATTAAGGTCTCTCGCATAAAAATCCATCCGGTAGTCTTACATGAACTATGCCCAACACTGACGACTGTAGTACTTAGCTAGGTCTCTGGTATACCAACCAACTGTCTTTCTCTTTCTGTCTTAAAAATATTAATTTCTGTACGAGCCATGGGAGCTACTCCAGCCTAATGGGGAAAACTGTCGTTACACTTATAGACGCTAAAGACCCTATACGTGATTTCTGTTCTTTTATTTACAGAGAATCATAGCTGATATTTATAAATAAAATACCATCCACCTTTTACTGGTTTACTAAGCGAGAATTTATTCGCAGATTTATGTAGACAATACACTTTTCAGGACTTATACAGAAATATCAACATCAACAGTTTTCGGAAGATACCATGACTTCCGCATATCTTCTATAGAAATAGACAATCCCTAGCAGATCTTATTATTGTATAAAGCACTATCCATAATCCATAGAAAGATATATCTTTGCAAAGAGATATCCTTCGATAAATAGAAGCTCTTAATCACGCAATGACCTGAGAAGATCTTATCGAAGGTTAAAGACCGCCCATAACCTTCTACAACTAGAAGACTTTCTGTTGACCATATTTGAATAGAAGCCCTCCATTGGTGTTCTCTATAAACAGCTCTTAACGGGTTTTCTTATATATAGAAGAACCTCCCGCTGACTTTCATAAATATACGACTCTTTCTTTTCAAACTACGACAGCTATATCATCGATAATGTCTAATTTCTGTCAATTTGTTAGGTATGTGAAATTCATCATCCCTTTGCTTTATATC